ATAATTATGTAGGCTATTAAAACGTCGGCAAGCAGTCAACATCAAAAGAGTGCAACTTCTGTACGTTAGGGCGCTTTTAGTGTCACGCGGATTTGCTCACGCACGCGGGATTGGACCGCATGCGTAAAATTTCACGCTGCGGATCATACGCAGCATGAGTTTCAGTTTTCTACGGGCTGCGTAACGGTATAGACGTGTTCAAAAATGATCAATGTCAGAAGAATATGTGTCGCTTACATACTTTACAAACGACGAAACAAGAAGACAAGAGTACATGTTGATCCCTTTCTTGAAAATAGGCTTCTTGCTGGGGCGTTTGTTACACGCTTTGGAAAACTACAAAATAATGAACGTAAATTTAAAAATTACTTTCGAATGTCCATTCGTTCTTTTGATGAACTGTTGTGTAAAATTGAGAATAAGCTACAAAAAAGCAGTTTACGAAGGATTACAATACAACCGATTGAGAGGCTCGCTATTACATTAAGGTAAGTTTTAAATTTTAAATATTTAATTTCCTGCTATGATTTAGTGGAAAGGGATTTGAACAGGTAGGATAAACGTTTTTTGACTTCAAATTACTGTCATGTGTAAATTTACATGTGCAAAAAAAAATTTTGTCATGTACTCTGAAATTTCATTGTTCATAATTTCATTCAATTTCATGTTGAAATTTCATTAAATAAGATTATTTCACTCATAAAATGTCGCCATTAAAGTGGAATCATTCCTACCTTTCATCACACGCTACTTATTATAATATAGATAAAAGTTATAGGTTTGCACATGACAGTAATTTAAAGTCAAAAAAAGTCCTTAATTGGTTTGGGATTGGTACGTTCAACCTACATACACAATCCTTTTTTTATCTGATAAAGTACACATGGCCACAGATCAAGTTACCCAAAACCAGCATAAATGGAACTCGCGCCTTGCGTATTATCATACTTAGGTAACCCGTCGGAGTCCCGCTTATACTGGATTTGAGTAACTTGATCTGTGCCGTGTGTACAACCGCACTCATATGACTAAACAAACAATTAGAGAGAAACTGGAGAAAAAAAGTTAATCGTACTCATTTTAATAAAAAGAGTTTTATTCATAAATTAAAAAATCAAATTTTACATCATTCATTTCTTTGTAAATTTGTATCCTGAGCGTTGACATTACTTTCGCCTGTAGATGATGTTGTTGCTGGGGTATAAATTACGTCATAAGACGTGATATTAAACAGGCCGCTTTCAGTCGAAATAAGAGTTTCATTGTCATTCACTGCAGCAGAACTAATAGCATTGTCGTTAAGACTCGAAGTATCCTGGATTATACTATTGGTTTGGTAATCTTGATTTATCGGTGACAAACTGTCAAGCTCAGTAAAAGCACTAGAACTTGTTGTAGGTATGGGACTGTAGTATGCAGGTTGTGTTTGACTTTCCATTTCCATAACTATATTTAACACTTTTGTTCTGAACATTAGTTTTTGATATCTAGTGAATCTTTTTAATGAAGGCTGCAGAGACTGAAAGAAAGCCAAATCCTCACTTTCTAGCTCCAGTTGATTAGACTTTAAGCATTCTAATAACTGTGCCTCAAATTCAGATGGTGCTTGCTTTTTAGATTTTATTTGTTTTTGTTTTGATGTTGGGTGAGAACTTTCTTGACGTGAAGTATCTGGTTGCGTGGACTCATTAGGTGTTTCTAAATTACTTTGTTCAGACATTTCTTCACAGAGTGACTCTTCTCCAGCAGTTTCCGTTGTACTGTCTAAGAAAGTCAAAATGTCATAGTAAGAATATTTCTTCTTCTTCTTCTTACTCCCAGAGCCGGATGGCTGATTTTTTTCAGATATCTTGTCTTTCTGGTAAGTGTCCCTTGCTGTTCGCCAGCGTTGTTGTATTTTCTTGTCTGAAATGACAAAATATAATAAGTAAGTGGCAAAAGTACACACAGTTTCAGATCAAGTTACCCAAAACCAGTACCAATAAACGGAACTTGCTAGGGCCTCGCCGGGCGCCGAGTCGTCTACGATAATAAACAACGCATGAGTCCTGTTTATACTGGTTTTGGGAAGCTTGATCTGTGGCCGTGTGTACAAATCTGATATTAGTTGGAAATTTAACTGCATTCGATTAAAGGCCCTCCTTAATTCACACATGTTGTCAACTTTACACTGTCTCATGAAGCATTAGATAAATCAAGCAATATATATATACCTATACAGAGTGGAAAAATAAGGCCGCAGTTGAAGGAAAAGTACCCTTAGGCGCAACGCAAACGGCGGGCCGGCGCAGGCCGGTCAATTTCGCCGCGAACGATAGCGCAAAGTGAATCTTATACTAGACGCAGACGGCGCGGCCGGGGCGGCGCGGCGCAGACATCGACGAAATAATTCATTTTTTACAAAAATAATTAGAACTTCATTTAAGGATTTTTGGAAAAACACCGGATTGAATCGGGCAATTTGTTTATTTGTTACAGTAAAATTTGCCATCATCAAAATTAAGGTGAAAACTTCCGGAAGTCACTAGCGCTGTAAGTTTTTAATTTGTTTTAACAAAAATTTGCTTTATTTGCATCTGTCAACCTTCATGAAGGAGGACATCTTGTAATGTAAATATTGCCTGAAATAAACGATATTTCATTATATTATATTATATATATTTATTAGATTCCTTTCATTTGCCGGAAATTTTACCATAGGGGTTAATTTATACAGAGAAGATTTCTTATAAAATATTTACAGCATAGTTATGTGTCTCAAATCTGCTAAAAGTGGCCACTTTTAGCAGATATGAGATACATAACTATACTTCGAACTTTTCATATGAAATCATAACTGCATAAATACCCCCCTATGATAAAATTTTCGGCAAATCATAGAAATCTAACGTAGCTATAGTACTGTAGTTAAAACGAATTAAAAACTTCTAGCGCTAGCTACTTCCGTGCCCTTTCACCTTAAGGGTATTTATTTTTCTTCTGAAGTAAAATTCGAGCGGTGCATGCTGTCTTATGTCTGATGTCAGCATTATTAATATATTATGTTATCATATTATTAATATATTGTTTTTGTTTTCAGATATTTGGCAACTGGTAATACATTCACTGATCTACACTATTCCTATGTGATTGGAATTGCAACAATTAGCGAAATAGTAAGACAAGTTTGTTACATAATATGGATTGAACTAAAGTCTGAATGTATTCCACAGCTTAATGGGATCAAATGGAAAGAAATCGCAGAGGGATTTCTCACATATACAAATTTTCCTAATTGCTTGGGTGCAATTGATGGAAAACATATAAGAGTGATTCGGCCGCCGCACAGTGGATCACTATATTTTAATTATAAGAAATATTATTCTGTAGTGCTCCTCGCAATGTGTGATGCTGATTATAATTTTACATATATTAATGTCGGTACCAGTGGAAGCAACGCCGATTCAACCATCTTTAGAAGGAGTCAATTGTATACGAAACTGGAAAGTAACACGTTGGGTATCCCTGACCCGCAAGAGTTGCCTATTATTTGCCCCGAAGTAGCTTATCCATCTAGTGTAAGAGCAAAGTTGCCGTTCGTGATAGTGGGAGACGAGGCATTTGGTTTATCATCACATGTGATGCGGCCTTATGCTCGTGATAATTTACCTTACAAAAAGAAAATATTTAATTACCGTCTGTCCAGAGCTAGAAGGTACATAGAATGCACTTTTGGAATTATGTCAAATAAATTTAGAATATTTCACAGATCCATGAATGTCAAGTTAGATCTAGCACAATTAATAGTCAAGACGGCATGTGTACTTCACAATTTCATAAGGAAACGGGATGGCTACAAGGTCAGCCATACATTTGTCACAAATGGTTTTACGGGACCACTACCCAGGCAGCAGACTGAAAGTAGTAATACGTCGGCAAGTAATATCAGAGATATATTTGCAGATTACTTTATCAATGAAGGAAAAGTCTCCTGGCAACACCTATATATAATTAATTAACTAAACTCAAAAGGTTTTAGAAGGTTTTTGATGTTATTTGTGAATTAAATAATTATGCTTATATTAATAAAGTAATGATGCTTGTATAAATAAAATAATGAACCAAACACATACCCGCCTCTTTTCTTTCCTCTTCGCTCAAATTTTCGTAGTTAGGTGCCAATTCCTTCAAAATATCTCTCCATGCAGCCTCCCTCGCGTCCCTGTGTTTGTATAATTCATTGCGTTTATCCCACAAAACGGGCCGCAGATGAACTTCAATGATTACTCGTTCTGTATCGATTTTCATTTCGGTAGTACAATACGGCGCGTGCGCCCCGCTCGACTCTAAAATGGGCACTGAAGTTGTAGGCAGCGCTTACGCATGCGGATACCCCGCACCGGGGTGACGCCCCGCACAGCGCCCCGCGTCCCGCGTGCGTTTATCACGCTTTACAATAGATACCTATATGAAATTGTTCTTTGCGGATGCTACGCATGCGGTCCAATCCCGCGTGCGTGAGCAAATCCGCGTGACACTAAAAGCGCCCTTAGTACTATTATTTATTCTGCGACTTCACTTGTACAAAATTAAAAGTAACGGCCCGCTCTCAATTTTTAGAGCGGGATATTGTTATAATTTCTTATCCACGCAGGTTTCCTAACCTCTCATTCACCGTCAAGCGCCAGATAAATTGGCTCAGATTACAATTAACAATTTCTGTGGTTCTAGCGAAAACGGACTGGTTTTCTGGTACACTGGGCGTGTGTCCAGCTTATGAGTTTTACCCGCACACTAGAATTTTCTCCTGTGTCGTGGGGGCAGTTTACAAACATACTCGTATATTGCACAAGGACAAACATCCAGGCCCGGAGCAATTATTTGTTGACCATACAAATACTTCTTGCGTGCGGGATTCGAACCCGCGGCGTTGTCAGCACTACAATTCAATGTTGCCACTGTATATATTTACCAGGACGTAGATACATATCATTTTAAATCGTGTCGCATTAGTGTTGTACCTGCATCATGTTGCGCACGACGTCGGCACCCGCTCGCAACGCTTTATGGAAAGTCCGCGTCGCGACGAAAGCGCGCCGCAGTTGCACCGACAACTTGTGCGGTACGTCTTCAAACGGCTGGATGTCGCGCATGTGCTCGTTCAGACAACGCAGGTACCTGGGAATTTATTATATTGATCACTTTCAGTCGTTCGGTATTATGCGTACGTATATTGGTATTTTTTAGTGGATGGTGGCGAGCCCAAAATACTTTCGGCGAGTTATATTTTTGGTTAGTGTGTAGTAAATATTTATATTATCCGTTTTCACGTCCGCTAGTAACTTCCTAAACTGTAGAGTTTTAAAAAATCTATTTCAATTGATTTGTCATAATTTATCTCTTTATTTTTCTTATTTAAAAAACACGTTACCCCCACACTAGGATTTTCTCCTGTATCGTGGAGGCAGTTTACTAACATAAATTGCACAAGGACATACATCCAGACACGGAACAATTAGCTGTAGGTCATACAAATACTTGTTCCATGCGGGATTCGAACCCGTAATAGTTGTAGCGAATGGGTCGGCTCAACCGGGAAGGACCAAGCTCTCACAGAATACCAACGCAAAAAAGCGGCTTAATGCTGCTGTGTTTCGGAGACCCTCATAGTCCTCAGGGGTGACAACGCATTTGCATTTTTTCTTAATCGAGGATAGATGTAGATTTTTGTGGGTCACCGCATCCACTTACCATCAGGTGGGCTGTGTGCTTGTTTGTCACCCTTATTCTATTAAAAAAGTATACAGCGTTAGCTTGGAATAAATATGACGGAAATGTCAAAAACTTATTCGATCTAAAAAATAATTAGCAAATTTATCATTTAACTTTAACAAATTAGAACATGTTATTATATCAGTTAGATCGGCGCAGTTAGAGGTTCCTTGTTTTATGATAACAATTTAATTGTTAAATTTTAAACTGGCAATAATGAACAGCGTTTTTGCCAACCATCTATTAATTTCACTTAAAATGGAAGCGGTAATTATAGAATAGTGTCTGAACACCATTATATAAAACCCACTGACTTTCCATAAAAAACGAATCAAAATAATCTTTTTCTCAATGAATTCCTCATGCAAAGGTACATATATGCGAACGTCAGACAAATGTTCACATATACGCTAAAGGAGTGCTTCACTTTCAAGTGACATAAGCCTTTGATAGGGACTCGGAGCTCTCAAATTCAAATGAGAACAAAACCTCTTTCTCTGACAATGTGGAGTGGAATTCAATAAAACGAAAGAAATGATATGTGCATTTGCATGAGATAGAAGTAACTTCTAATCTTCTTTAACAAAGTATATTTTAACATGTATATAAATGAGAATTTTGTATATTTAAAAGGATTATTATTGCCTTTTCAATTATTAAAACTTAATTATTCGTTTCTAAAAGTTGTTGTATTGACCAAAGACTTATTAAAAAAGATAGACAGGTTATACACTAACATTATTGTATTTTAAAGAGGCACAGGTAGTACTATATCTACGTACAGTTACTTATTATGACATGTTGCGCTAACAAAAAGAGACAAATGATAAGGCATACCTATCATTAGAAAAAGATGAATATACATCATTAGTTGCGTATTGATTGCTGCTGAGCACTCATTGGCGCGAGCGCGTGACATACCGATATGGAAATGAACACACTAGCTAGCGTAATTTGTGCACCACCTAAAAACACAGGAAGGCATTTTTACCACGAATAACTAGAAGATTTACGCGCTGTAGCGAAGGTATAGCCGCAACGCGAGAGCATGCCCGACTGAATGCGGGTCGGGCAATTACCTGACTTTCGTATTGCCCTTTTAGAGCGAGTATAATGTGTCTATACTTTAAAAATATCTTAGGTATTGACTACCCACCTAATGCCTCTCTGTTGGCAACCACTAACCTATAACTGAACGGTAAGCAACAGGGAGTATACTGCGCCCCCTTTCCCTAAAGGGGATCTTTAGGGAAAGGGGGCGCAGTTTCCGATTCGGCAGAAAGGCCATACAGGCCAAAGCCAGTCCCAGGTGGTGCTTAGTGGGTAGGCACTTAGGTTTCACAGTGAGTCCCACATAAACACGCAGCCGGCTGCGTTGTATGCTTAGAGCATTCACCAACTCCCTCCCGTGCTTCCCGAAGGGTAGCTATTTACTTTGCTTCTGGGCGTATACTGACACTACTTGGAGCTAGTAAGAAGTAATCAACTATATGTAATCGTTGTTGGTTTGCATAGTTGATCTATTTTACTGTCATTTTTAAAAATCTAAATCGAATCTAAAATAATTTTGGGAGAATTTCTGACGCACGCGTCTATTACCAACGTTGCTTACTATATTGCTTATTTAATATTTTTTGATCAATGTCTTTTTACGTAATACCTATACATTTTTTATATAATATAAAACATTTACAAAATTTGAAACCTAAAAACTTAAAATGTTATATCTCTCATGTCCAAATGCGCTAACGCTGCCCAATTTTTTAAAAATAGCTACCGTTAGGTCTCGTGCTGTCTCTATCACTTTAATCGAAGTGAGTGTGACACCACGAGACTTAACAACATCTTAGAATTCAGTAGCGCTAAAATATTTAACCATAAGCAATAACGTAAGAAACTGTCAGCATTTTTTTGGGAAAGAGGTGTATTTAACTTTTCAAAAAGCAGTGTGTGATCGTCCTTACACATAACTCCTTCCCTCCCATGACAGCCAACATGAAATCAGAAAGCATGGAATCTTTCTTTCATTTCTAGCGATAATTTTGGTCATGTTTTATATTTAATTATACTGTAGAAGAAAATAACAAATAAATATAATTATTTCCCAAAGACACTATGAGTATCTATAGACGAATTAAATTATGTTAGTGTGCAAAAAAAAGTAATTTTCTTGGTTTTGGTCTGTGCGAAAACATGTAATACAATAATTATTGCCAAAAAAATGGCTTAAACTTTATTGGATCCTTCTAAAAATGCTAGTTTAATAAATTCTCTATATCCTGCTGGGAGCCAAAATGACAATCCTGCTAAAATCGTATGACTCAAACTCAAGTTACGTAGATCAGGCGCCTTCGAGGTACTCTTGAGATGAAAGGACGTCTAAGTATCTACGCACGCAGTGTCCTATACATAGTGCAGAAGCACTCGAGACGGAAGAGAATTTAAAATAAGTTAAAATTTTATCTATTACATTAGTTTTTTTTTACAAAACTTTTTTTCTAGATGAACAATCCTTTTGTGGATAGCCAACTGCAAAGTTTCAAATCTTTATTACAAGGTGATATAGGAAGCATGCATAAGCTTAAGAATTTGCCTGGATAGACACCATCCTCGTATCTATTTCTGCCGTCAAATGGCGTGCACTGCTGTGTTTCGCTCTGATCGGTTTAGAGACAGAGCCAGTATCAATAAAGACTGTGAAGCATTCCACTTTAGTTTAGACGTGGTAGAGCCACGCTGCAGCTATATTATAGTTGTAGCACGAATGGGTCGGCTCGACCGGGGAAGGACCCCGCTCTCGCAGAATACCAGCGTAAGATAGCAGCTTGACGTTGCTGTGTTTCGTATGGTGAGTGTAGAGAACAGGAGACCCTTTTTACTGGAAACGAGGCATTCCATTTTAGTTCTCGGGGGAGGCAACGCATCTGCATTTTGATTCTTAATCGAGGATATATATAGATATCTATGGGCCTACTTACCATAAAGTGGACTGTGTGCTCGTTTGTCATCCTTATTCTATAAAAAAAATCTACTTTAATCCTCAAAGGTGACAACGCATCCGTAACCTGTTCCGTTATCTGTTCTGTGCCCTGTTTCTTGCTTGAAGACGGCTGCAGATGTCCATGGATTGCAATACCACTTACTATCAGGTTGTGAATATGTACATAAGAAGGCAATTAAAAGGTATACTATCCACAAAAAAGAATAATTTTGAAGTCAACAAACCTATAAAACTTTAAGAGATCCTGATTTAAAAATGTATCTACCATTGAAGACCCATTATCGTTATTTATCGCCATTCGATAAATTTAAGTAGGCGTCTGGCATCCAAGTATTAAACACACAATGATGTAATAAAACACGCTAATAATAAAATGAGCCAATCAAAATCCCATCACGTATACTCTTAACATAACATCTCAGGTATACGGACCTGTTAATGTTTCTCCAACGAGCCAATAATGCAGACCACATAAGAGCCAATTGCGTGAGTACTGTTGGAAATATCTGATCGCATTCGCAACTGTCCATACAATGTTATGTTAATATAGTATTTATAATTATACCGATATCGTGTTTCGATTGAAGGCAATTGTCGTGCGGACAGGCAATAGAGACTCAAGTGATGACCGACCTTTATACTCGTAGCACTTTATGCCAAGCGAACACGTAAACAAACGATCGAGGGCGATAATCGAGCGTAAAATGCCACCGGGGAACTGTTTTGATAACGTTACGAGGTAGGTACTACCGGCGTGCGATCGGCGAAAGCTCGGCTCGCTTCGTGTTAAAATGTATTAAAATTGTGACAGATAGAATTATATATGGTTTCAACGAAACGAAATAATCGCTTCGATCTACTATACTTATTTTTAGTGCTGGTAATGGACAAAAAGCACACAGTCCCCTTGAACACTAACACATGCCACCGACACTAAATAAAATCTTGCTATCAAAATAATTAGTGACAAACAAGGATACATGGATGCTATGGTCCATAGGGAGCTATGCCTATATGCAGATATTATCCTGGACTAAAATGAGTGCGTCGATACCAGTTAAAAAGGATCTCTGGTTATCGTAATTAACAGAAAAATTGCTTTACAACGAACTGGGGTTGCCAACTATTTTTGTATCACGGAGAATATTTTCGAGTCAATAAATAACATGTAAAAAATTATTTTATATTAAGGAATGAGTATTTTTGTTGCCTTGAACCATAATATTAGAACAATAGTAAATATAATAAAGTCGGTTGGCAGCCCTATATATTCCCCAACATATTCTAGACCCGAGACTTGCTCTGGTCTAGAATATGTTGTGTAGAGATGCAATAAAAATCACAGTTTATCCATTCCCGAAAACTGATATTTTGTATCGGGTTCTCTAGTTACAAAGCTCAAGACTAGACTAAATAATTTAAAATTTAAAATTTTGTTCAACCGACTTCAATATAAATTATTAAGAATAACTCAAAAACTATTGGTCAGACCTTGATCAAATTTATATGGGACCACATGTGAAGCACCAGCTTTCAAATAAAAAAAAAGAATCATCGAAATCGGTTTTTAACCAGTAAGAAGTTATGAGGTAGACATAAAAAAAACATACAGTCGAATTGAGTACCGGCTCCTTTTTGAAGTCGGTAGAAAATTTCATAAAATTATTTTAATTTTTTTCAATAAATAATTTTTTTATTATTTATATTTTAATATATAATATTAAAACCTATAATAATAAAAAAAACTAAAACTAGAAACTTAATTATCATATAGTCCTACTCCCCGCGGTATCGTTCCAAGAACGCTGACCGCGTTTCCCCGCTGGATGGCTATACTTAGCCTTTGAGCGAGAAAAGAACTAGCCCTCTTATCACCGGCAGTTCCTTTAAGAACTTCACCGCACGTGGACCCCACGGACCCATAGTCTCTACAGCAAATGGCACAAATATGTAGTCATCTCTCAGAGACTCATATTTGCGCCATTTCCTCAGTTCAGCTGCCTCTGATGCCGCCCCGACTCTAAACGAGGTACCCCTAAGATGAGAGGCCGCCAGAGTGTCTACGCAAGTAGCATCCCATACTAGGGCTTTACCTCTCTCCCAAGGGACCAATGTCATACCGTCGGGTCTCCTGCCATCGTCTCTAAATATTACACAAGGCTCTAAAACCGAGGGAACATTTATAGAAACAAGAGCCCTTCGGATGACATCGTTTAAAGAACTGTGTCGTGAAAACCTATAATTTACAAATTTCATAAATTTACATCAAATACCTAACTAGAACTTGTACATTTAGCAATGCCTCAAAATTTCTCACTTTCCGTTTTCTATTTTTATTATTTAAAAATGTCGTACAAAAAAGGTATTTGTTTATTTGAAATAAATTACAAAGCCTTTTAATGGAACTCTTATATACGCTTATAATATCTATAGAAACTTTAATTCGAACAATATTACCCTGTTGTAGCATTACCGATAATTTTAAGTTGCTTATGAAATTTCGGAAATCCCTATAGCGGATAAAATGGATTTCCCCATTGACATTCTCCAGCCTTAGTTTATTTATCGTTCTGTATTTTGTTATTGAGTAGGAAACATCTAATTAGCTAAATTAATGATAAGGTTTGGAGAATTAATGCTAGTGATTAAATTCGCAGAAAAATTTTGTAAAAAATACTGCAAGCACACATTATTATCAGAACTAAATGATAAAAACAGCCTGGTTTACTAATCTAGCGATATACCACGCATTTCAAAACCTATCCAGTTATTAAGGCTACAGAAGGTCACAAAGAAACTGAAATAAAGTGCACATACCAATAGATAATTAAACTCCAATACAGAACAAAGGCCTATCATACTTACTTCTGGTCAAAGTTGTACTGCGAGTTGAGGACGGTGAACATCTTCTCGTACAGTATACCGAAGAAGTCGTCCATCATCTTATCGAAGTTGGTATCGCCGCGGCTGTAGTAACTGAAATAGAAGCAAATTTTCATTAAATCCCCATTAGTTTTTGTAGGAGTTAGAGGCGGCGTAAAGAAATCAAACAGGCTGTAATAGACCATTACAGCCTGTAATAGTCCACTGCTGAACATAATCCTACCCGGGGATTGCCTAGTAAGGGCATTTTGCCATAGTTTTCATAGTGTTTTCATAGTTCATAGTCAAATCTTTTATATTTTAAATAGATAGATTGACTTGGCCATCGTATGAAAACACAATGTATCTCTCAAGTAATACATATTATATTAAATTAGATGGTCGATTGCCAAGTCAATTTGTTTATTTAAAATATAAAAGATTCTTAGTATTGATGTGGTCACTATAAGATGTTGTTAGGTTAGCTAATTATATATACAACATATGTATATCGAAACCAGAAAACCAATAACTTGCGTTTTTGAATAAATTTTTACTTGGACTGGAATTCGAACTTAGATCGGTCAGCGCACGCAGAAAATAAACGTATAGCGCGCATAAGTCGAATTTAAAACTTTTTATGCACATCTAAAAGAACAAGACCTTCTGAGAAAGAAACAACTAAAAAATAGAGGTTTTAAAAAAAGTGTAGTGGCGGAGCAAGATTCACTGTCTCATATCGTCATATTATGCATGTCGTAAGAGGCGGGACAGAGGGAAATAGAGACAGGAGATGTTCAGCAGTATCTTCTCGAAAATAATTCAAAATAATTAAAAACAGCAGTTGCCTGATAAACATGGCAATAATTCCAAATATAAAAGACATTATAGGAGAGGCTTTTATTTAACAGTAGACTTTGATAGGCTGTATTGATGATGAAAATAGTGATTGCTATATTATGGTTGTAGCACGAATGGGTCGGCTAGACCGGGGAAGGACCACGCTCACAGAATACCAGCGTAAAATAGCAGCTTAACGCTGCTGTGTTTCGTATGGTGAGTGTAGAGAACCGGTGACCCTTTTTACTGGAAACTAGGCATTCTATCTTAGTCCTCACGGGTGACAACGCATCTGCATTTTGATTCGTAATCGAAGATAGATGTAGATGTCTATGGGCCACAGCAACCACTTACCATCAGGTGGACTGTGTGCTCGTTTGTCACCCTTATCCTATAAAAAAAAATGAAGATGATGATGTTGCAATTTCATTAATGTAAAAAACCTCAATGTTTATCCTCACAAGGTAGTAGTAGTATCGATTTGGCGATGGCATAGCTTTATTGACTTTAAAAAAGTACTTGGTGATTTTGAATGAATTATTTTGACTGACTATAACCACCGTGTATTGGCGGTATAAGAATATCCAGAAACAGAAACAGAAACTTTTTTATTCAATATAGATTATAAATAATACTTATTGAAAGTCACTAAATCAAATTTTAAATTATCCACTACCCCATATCATCCTGTGGGTGTCGTAAGAGGCCACAGAGGGAAACAAATTAGGAGATGGGTAGCTTCGTCTTCCTAATAACGAATAAATTAAAAAATAACTGAAGTTGGCAACCCGCTTGCCAAGCGTGGCAAATATGGCAAATATCCCACCTATGAGACAATCTATAAGGGAACTCTATGTTCAGCAGTGAACCTTAATAAGCTGTAACAGTAACGGACTTTAGTTCAGTAAAAGAGTTTAGGGTAAGAACATACTTGTACATCTTGTACACGACGCACTAGTTTGTGTTTAAAGTTTGACAAGCAAATAACATTTTAACACAACAAAACATGCAGTTACTATTTGCAATAATGTTTGCTTTATTTAAGTGGGCTTTGTTATTTTTGAACATGAAAACAATATACTTTGTAAATAGGGACACTATTCAGTCAATAGAAACGCGCGACAAGGGTACGTTCCCGGAGGGTGCAATCAATGAGAGATTTCTGCGAGACTAGTTACTACAGCTAGCGAATATGTTCGCGTTAATAATGTTGTTTTTAATTGGAATCATCAGCTTTCTAACTGAAACTACGATTTAAATACCGAAGAGAATAATGACACAAAAAGTGTACATGTATAAAATGTAGATGTACCAGAGCATCATAAATATTAAGAAACCTTTTCAAGAGGTTTTATACTTACAGTTTTTGGCTTGGGTTTTAAATGAAAATTTCTGAACAAATTTGTAAATTACTGACAGTACTTACTATAATAAAATTGAAACTCCTCACAAGACTTTTTTTTTAAATTATAACAAAGGCTTCAACCAAATTCACAAAACAATGAATCACTAGTCGTGTTTATAATTTGCATTTGACGCTACTTACTTCTGTAGTTGCTCGAACAACTGCTCGAACACGTACGAGTGCTGCTCGTAGATCATTCCGTACGTGCGCTTGAACATGTTGTGAAACTCTTCCCGTGATACTTTTAAGAGTTTCCGAAAGAATTCTGCAACAAGATAAAACGTATGGATTAATCAAAAAGAAATTAGTTATAGATATATTTAAGTGTGTTACAGTCGCAACTAAGACTTAGCTAAGTAACTAAGTTTTTAGAATAATGGTGACAAACGAGCACACAGTTACAGGTAAGTGGATGCTGAATGATTAAGAATCAAAATGCAGCTGCGTTGTCACCCCTAAGGACTAAGATGGAATGCCTTGTTTCCAGTAAAGAGTCCACACTCACCATACCAGACAGCAGCATTTATACCTGCTACTTTACGCTGGCATTCTGTGAGAGCATGGACCTTCCCCGGTCGAGCCGACCCATTCGTACTACAACTATCATATAGCTGCAGCGTGGCTCTAACACGTATAAAATTGAAGCGACAAATGAACTTAAAGCTTGTGAGAGACGTATGCCTTTCCTGGTAGAACCGAACTGAACACACAAGCATATCTGCCGTCAAACACCAGAGCTTACACAGGTCTGAAAACTATGGAGCTATAGAGAGGCAATATAAATATTAAGAGCCAACATTATATTAATTACATGCTGTGAACCATTCCATCTTAGTCTTCAGAGGTGACCACGCATTTGTAACCTTCTTTGCTTAAAGTTGGCTGCTAATATCCATGGAGGATTACAGTAGCCACTTACCATCAGGTGGACGGCAAGTTCGTTTCTCGTTTGTCACTTTAGTTTAAAAAAAACCGGCCAAGTGCGAGACGGACTCGCGCACCGAGGGTTCCGAACAAATCCGTAGGCATATAAGTTTAAAATTATAAAAAATATTTTTATTATATGATGTAACTAAAAATTTATGCTTTTTGGAATTTTTCCTTTATCTGTGCTATAATACGTTGCTTCGTACCAAATTTTAAGATTCTGAGTTCACGGGAAGTACCCTATAGGTTTTGATTCCCTTGCGAATATCGAAAATTTGCGGCATAAACGGCTGTATCTTTCTATTGCATTAGATTAGAAGTTTGATTTTTTCACAGCTTCAAGGGGCAGTAGATTTGAGTATTTGTTATGAATTTCAGCTTGATACCTCCATGCGTTCCTGAGAAAAAGGGTCTTGACAGACAGACAGACGGACAACAAAGTGATCCTATAAGGGTTCCGTTTTTTCCTTTTGAGGTACAGAACCCTAAAAAACTAATACCGTCAAATTAAATGTCAAAAAAAAACTAAATATGATAAGAAACCCGGCTAAGCAAATAAACGTTAAGAGTTCATTGACATGTCAAGTTATTTTTACTGATAACCTTTAGCACTTGAAAATAATGTGGCTCAAACAAATTTTATTCAAACTTTGCGCAAACAGCTTTGGCAAACACAAATATTAAAAAAAGGTCGCACGCTAACATGCCATATATAACAAATTACATTAATTCTTGCATTGAATTACACAGATAATGGGTAAGTATGTATTGCTTTTTTTATATTGTGTCCAATTTTTACTATCATTAATAACCGAATAACGCCAAATTACTAAAGAATTTAGTGTTGCTTGTTAAACAAGATAAAATTTGGGTTCAGAATGTGGCTACCCTTAGTCTTTTCTTTTTAAGTTTTTGAAGACATATTCTGCAATGTATTTTAAAAAATCGTTTTTCTATCTAACGAGTTTAATTTCATCTATACCCAAATAATCAATTTCGTAACAAAATTTTCCCAAAATAAACTCTATTTTCATTTATTTATCACTTAACCAAACAGATATATCAAACATGTAAATAACACGGAAAAGTCACTGATGTTTGTCAACAGAGTGAAGTCCACTTCAATCAGCCGTATGTTTATATTAACATGAAAAATATTTATGTATTACGGTCTAGGTACATATCCACTAATTTATCCAGGATCTTTTCGAGAATTATGCAAATTTGCGTTGCAAAATTGTTTGAAATTAGCACTCATGTTCGCAGAAGAAAGTATGTCACAAGTTTACTTTTAATATTACATGTTTGTAGTTCATTCACAACAGCATATAAAAAGATCACGCTTGAACATAGGCCTCCCACAAAATCACCTCATAGGGAGCATTTTTTCGTAGTTGCCACGCTCGGCAGGCGTTTGACAACAGCAGTTTGTTATTATATGTCCCCATATACTATCTCTTGTTTCAGTTTCTCTCTATCGCCTGTTATGACATCCACGTGACGATGTCGGGTATTAAATATTCTTACACCACCACTACACGGTGACGTGTAGTTAAATCGTTAATTTAGGTGATGGGTAATTTATTAATCAATCGAGGAAGCAGGTATCGCGTTGTCCGCTCGCCGTATCTATACGTTATTTTATTTGAACTGATAATTAAAGTTGCCATATTGCGTTGTCATATTTTTTTTTATAGGAGATGGGGCAAACGAGCGTGCGGCTCACCTGATGGTAAATGACTACCGCCGCCCATGAACAACTGCAACACCAGTGGAAATGCAGATGCATTGCCGGTCTTTTAAAAAGGAGTACGCTCTTTTCTTGAAGGTCCCTAAGTCGTATTGGTCCGGAAAAATCGCTGGTGGTAATCGATTCCACATGGAAGTTGTGCGAGTAAGAAAACTTCTTTCTAAATCGAACAGTGGTGGACCGCCAATCATCGAGGTGGTATGGATGGTATCGCGAGTTTTGTCGCGATATTCATAAGAACAACCTTGTTCATTGATTTTCTATTCTCCATATTAGCTCGCAAATAGTCCACAGCTGGGCGTGGGGATTCAGAGGTCACCGTTGTGGAAATTATTTTCCGTGATCGTCCTGTTTGGCACTGCCAAATTTTCAGACTAATTGGCAATCGCAGAACCTGACATCACGCACCTTTGATGCTGTTTACCCATCGTCAGACTGGTTACTTTACATGTGACATTTACGCATATCATCAGCTATCTATCGAAGACCATGAGTATGTATGGTAGATAGTGTATGATGGGGTTTTATTGCTTAGTAATCGTTAGTTTGAGTTTTCCTACTAAAACTTTAGTATAAAGGAAACTAAACTAAATAAACTAAACATGATGCTGCAGCTATATTATGGTTGTAGCACGAATGGTTCGGCTCGACCGGGGAAGGAATCTCACAGAATTCCAGAGTGAAACAGCAGCTTAATACTGCTGTGTTTCGTACGGTGAGTGTAGAGAAACGGAGACCATTTTTACTGTTAAGGAGTAATTCCATCTTAGTCCTCAGGGGTGACAATGCATCAACATCTTTATTCTTAATCGAGGATAAATGTAGATGGCTACAGCATCCACTTACCATCAGGTGGACTGTGTGCTCGTTTACCGCCCTTACTCTATAAACGTGGTAGAGCCATGCTGCAGCTATATTAGTAGTATAGTTGTAGCACGAATGGGTCGGCTCGACCGGGGAAGGACCACGCTCTCATAGAATACCAACGTAAAATAGCAGCTTAACACTGCTGTGTTTCGTATGGTGAGTGTAGAGAACCGGAGACCCTTTTTACTGGAAAAGAGGCATTCCATCTGAGTCCTCACGGCTGACAATGCATCTGCATTTTGATTAGCAAATGAGGATAGATGTAGATGTCTATGGGTCACAGCAACAACTTACCATCAGGTGGACTGTGTGCTCGTTTGTCACCCTATCCTATAAAAATAAACTTTTGCTTTATTTTAATTAATTCCTTTGATATATATACGAAATATTATATGGAATTCTGAGGTCACGCTGTTTTCGTACCGTAATTATCTGACTTATATTATTTTTCAAAATAATGACATCAGACCAGAATGACTCAACTTCACCGGCTGACCGAATGAGTAATCGAACATCGTAAGAATTGCCGCCGCGAAATTATAAATTTAAAAATAAAAACATAGCAACATTTTAACGACACCGATAAATCAAATCAAACTGTAAACACAGACGAACAGTTCCCGCGCCGGTATCACGGACAGAAATAGTTCTTTACGCTATAACACATACATATACATAAACACTCACGCCTGTCACCCAGAGGGGTAGGCAGAGACTACGGACTTCCATTTGGCGCGATCCTGACACACCTCTCTCGCCTCTTTTACATCCATATATCTACGCATACACGCTCGTCGGTTAAGGGTACTCCTAATCTGGCCCATTTTTAATGTATCGCCGATTTGGTCGATAAACCTTCGTCTAGGGCGTCCCTTCTCGACCCTGCCGTTCACTTCCGCAACATAAATTTGCTTTGTCACTCTTTCCTCGTTCATTCTTTCTACATGACCAAACCACCGAAGCATTCCTTTCTTAATCCTTGTCACAACGTCATCTTGCAAACCACACTTTTCTCTTATCACACTATTTCTCACCCTGTCATTCAGATTCAGCCCTAGCATACTCCTTAAGGAACGCATTTCTACAGCATTTATTCTACTCTCATGCTTCTTCTGCCAGACCCAACTTTCACTACCATACATTAAAGTAGGGACTAACACAGCATTATGAATTGCCATATGTGCCTTAGTTGACACATTCTGACTCCTCATAATAGCGTGTAGAGCCCCATTCACTCTATTTCCTGCGTTCACTCGTCGTTCTATATCCTTATCATATCTACCATCCCTGCTAAATAAACATCCCAAATATACAAACTCATCCACTTGCTCAATCAACTCCCCTTCTATTCTTATTTCACATAAAGTTTTACTTTCTTCTCTTTCAAAAACCATCACTTTCGTCTTACTTGCGTTCACTTTCATACCCCTTTCTTTCAATGACCAATTCATTAAAGTAACCATCATTTGCAACTCGGCCGCCGACGATGCAAATATGACTTGATCATCGGCGTACAAAAGGCATTTGACGGTTGACTCACCCATTCTCAACCCACATTCTTCAACTTTCAAAGTTTGCAAACAACTGTCCATAAATAAGTTAAACAGCCACGGGGAAGCCACACATCCCTGTCTGACACCTTTATGAATGCCAAACCAGTCCGAGTAGACCCCGTTGATCCTGACACAAGCACTAGAGTCCCTATAAAGAGATCTTAATGC